TATTTCTATTTGAATAAAAAAAGTAGTTTTACAGGCTTACTTTACATTTGCATTTTTTTAGTTTTGTCAGATGTTTTCTGTTTTTTTAAGTAAAATCTCAATAATCAGCTGATCTATTTAAATGTAGGTCAACTGTTGACTATTTACATATCTAATAGAGTGCGCTGATTCTGAACTGTTCAAAAGCTGCTATAATTGTTCATTATTTAGTTTCATTACTTCAGTTTGCTAAACTGTAAAAAAGGTATTTAAAATATAGACGTTGTACTATACTTAATAGTAATCTACAATGATTAAAAAATCTCAGTGAATAAAATTAATTTAAGATTTTTTTGTAGAAATTTAAAAATATAAACTTATAAACATACATAATGTGGATAACGTAGGAGGTGGCATCATTGCATTCTCTCGAAGCACTATAAACAAATTTTCGCAAACTGAACAAGCGGCACTCTGTTTTTCAATGTTTTCCAGAAAATGTCAAGAAGAATATAAAATTTTCAACATGTTTTTTATCGCAAAAAAATCTCACGAGCGTGTTTCTGGAGTCGAACTATACTACCAGTTAAAATACTTGCACTTATTTCTGGGACACCCTGTATAACAGAAATTTAATTCAGAATATCTAAATTAATGAAATAAATTAGCGGTTTCAGCTATACGTTATACTTAAAAGTTTACGATCATTTACAATGTCTAAAAAAAACAATTAAAATTAATAGAACATCCTAGCAACAGCTTGCTGTAGTTAGTCGTATCCATAGATGAAGCCTAATATACAACAGAGATTAAAAACTTCTCATTTTTAATCACAATTTTCTCTTGGCGGATGATAATCAAAGGCCAAAATGACATTACTCGCAAGTCCTGTATGCCTGTCCAATGACGAATATTTATCAGCCAGGATAGCTTCCTTCGGCCTATTCCTCTTTTGCCCCCCCTCTATTTTACCCTGGAGAATCAGACGCTGAAAGTGATAGCGTTTTAGTTAATTTTAACAACCTCTTAGTTTTACCCATTAATGATATCTCCCTATACCGTGTGTTTCGTATACGACTCTCAACATTGGGGTCTCGGAACAGCAATAAATACAAAGTGGCTCAAATTGAAGTAAAGCTGCGTTCTCGGATGCGTGTCCCTGATAATCCATTTAATAATTGAACTGTTGTTTTTCTTTACCGGAAATATGGCGGAAAACTGAAATTTTCGGTTTTCGTTTTGACACTTAGACAAAATCTCTAAACTCACTCTCAAAGAAACTTTGCATCTTTTGGTGACCTAAAAAATCACAATCAAAAGTTTTCTGGAAGCATCAACGGGATAATAATTTTTATTATTTCTTTTTTTATAAGCTTATGCAATAATGTACGTACCATCCTTGCCATAAAAATGTAAAATAGAAATAAATATACGGAGATACTTTGGTTATGTGTGTGTGTAAAAACAAGCAATATTTTTTCGGCAAATGTGATATACATCCTGAAATACTCCTTTCTTGAGTTATAACGAGTTATAACTCATCATACAGTCTCAGGGCTTTGGTAAAAGCCAGTATATGAGACAGAGGCCAGCTCTCCATCTTCGATATCAGCCGTACCAAAGTTTATGGCACAAACGGTTATCGTCTCGGCGCACTCAGTGATGAGGTGTTGGTGTTTCCTCATTTCCTTCACAGAATCTGCGTTTGCCGTTGGTTCTCAACTTGAATCTACTAAGGTGTTCGTTGAGGAGACAATATTATAAACCCCGTGACATTCCGAAGATTATTTTTACTTAAATCAAGTAAAATCTTTGATTTTCCTCGGTCGTAAGTTCTGATGAACTTTTTCGAGTATCTATTCCCTTTCCAGGTTACGGATGGAGTCTTCTAGATGCTTCAGTTCTCCGCTTTAAGTTGGTTTCCACTTTCAAAGCATAGTGGTGCTGGTCAAGTTAGTGGAGTGTTCCTTTTTTAGCTAAGTCGTTTGCTTTTTCATTGCCTTCTATCCCTTGGTATATGGGAAGTCATAAGCTTTTCAAAATTCAATTAAGTCAAGGTCAGCATTTACAACTTTTGTTTTGAATATGTCTCATTGTCAAATATCTAGTTTATTTTAAATTTTAGTAGAGTATATTGATATTCGGTAGAATTCATTTCATTAAAAGTATTACAAAGTTTTCATAACTAGCAAATATATGATACACCTCTTTTTCCATGTGAAAAAAATTTGAAACACAATAATATTTTTATCTATTCCATAAACAGATTTTATGATCTTCTCAATACCTGAAATAATAGTTAATATGAAAAAGAAATACTTCATATCAGCGGCGGCTGGTAGAATTTCGTTGTACTGTGCAAGTCCCGCCCCAAATTTTAGTAATTTAACTTAGGACCCACCAGAATTATTTTTGTATTATTAAAAGTTACTTAAAAAATTGCTATTTTTATTTTTGCGTGTGTACCACCAAGGCCCGTAACTAAAAAAATAAAATTGATGACAGTTCCAGAAAACCCAAACATCGTGATTTCACTTTGCCATGGGATGAAGCCAAGAAATGTTTATATGAGAATGTTTTTATTAATTTTTTGAACTGTTTTCACAGTAAATGTTTCAAAAAAACGTAAACTCGTAAGTAAACTCGTAAACAAAGAAAAACGAAAGCAGAAAACATCAGCTTTCTAACATAATTCTTGAAATAACAAAGATTTACTACAAACACAAAAAATTACTAAATGGATTATCCTTTACAGTCAAGTCTGCCTTAATTTGAAAGACTAGTAAGAGTCGAATTTGAAACATCCAGTATACTTATAATTTAAACAAAAAATATTTTAGATGCACTATGTTTTCACGTCGAATGTATAACTGTGTCGATGTTATTTCTTCGCTTAGCTATGCTTTGGCCCGATTTCGTCAAACAATGGTCACTGGTTGAAATTTCCATGAAAAGTTATGAATTGTCGTTTAACATTAAGAGGAAAATCATGACAATTATCATAGCTATAATGTCGATTGCTATACGTAAGCTGATTTTATAAGTCATATACAATTACACTAACATTTCTGGTTTTATTCCTAAAGTTGAACATGTAATGGTAAGTGCTGACAGGTTGCTAAGATCCACAAGTACAAATCAATCCAGTGAAAACCTAATAAACGAGTATTTCTCTAAAGATATGTTTCCGGAAATTTTTTGCTTCATCAGCTATTCAATCTGGATTGGTCTAATATTTCAGGTACCAAATGGTTTGCTATGTACCATTACAAAATAAAAATTTACAATATTTTTTATTACAATGTTTTAGGTGTTGGTATGGCAGAAGACATTTATATGGACATTTCTCGATGTCTTTATTATAATTGTTAGTACTTGTTTTCATTTCAGATTGAAACAAATTTCGAAAAAATTGTTTTTCTTGTCAAAAATGCAGGTACGTCACAAATTAAACATTTTAGTGAGTTTAAGCTAAAGATTTATTTTTTTTAATGGCACTCTTTTTTGAGGTATCTTCATAAAGCTTTATACAAGTACTAATTTTGAAATTTTAAAGAAATACTAAAATGGCTATGTTTTATTATGATCATACAGTTTATCTTTACATTTCAATATAAAATCAACAAAATAATTTCTTCTTACTTATATTTCGGTAGATGGTTTGACAATAATTTTATTCGAGTTTTATTTAGCAATATTTAATTTGAAATTAAATCGATCTATATAATATATCGCCATATTGAACAATAGTGCCAACATGTAACATATTATTGAAAATAGATTAAGCTCTATATAAAAATGTGGTGTGTGCCTTTTGAAATTCTTAACTTAAAATCTCTTCCGGGTGAACAGGAATTGTTTTCTAATCGACAATTAAATTGAACCAACTTATATCATTATTCTTTAACATTCATAGTAATTCAAAAGAATTCAAAGTGTCGCAATATTTTGCTTTAAATATTTTTTATCATCAAATATCCAGTTAATTTCAAACGTTTCTTAAGTATGGAATATTGTAATTCGGTATACGTAATTTTATTATAGGTATTACAAAATTTTCATAATTATCAAATATATGATAGGCCGGTTTTTAATGACAAAATTAGTAAGTATAAGACACCAATTAAACTTTTAGTTACGTAATCGAGAGCACGATTTTTAAATTCATTGTTGCCAACAATGGACATATTCGGCGTCGAACTGACTCACTGGAATTAAAATTTCTCGCTGAGGATTCAGGTGGTAGTCCTGCTGTAAAAAATGTCAAGTTTCCACATTTATTTATTTCGATTTATTTATTTATTCCACATTTATTATTTAATCTGACAATGTCATTCATTTTTGACACTTTAGTTTTGTATTACGTAAGTTTTTGGTTTAAATTGTGTTGTGATACTTTAAGCTTAAAAATGTTCACTAGCAGACCTTGCCGTTGAACACTGTTCTTTTTAGAACCTCTTTTAGTGCGAAGTGTACAAGATAGCTTAATAGCCATTAAAAAATCATAGCAACCTTATTAGAATATTTTGAACGAGAAAGAGGTACTAATGGCCCTTTATGTCTTTGTGCTGTTAAAGAGGTGAGTTTTGTTCATGTAAATAATAACTGTTTATATATTTATAATTAATGTATTTTTGTTTCCTAAAATATTTTCATTAAAAGAAAATATGTAAAAGTGGGCAACGCTGTGCCGGCCAAGCTTAATCACGCGACTAACAGTTTAATTGGTATGAACCATAATTAATTAAGTAGCAATAGTGGTATTCTTTCGTTCTGATTGCAATCGGAAGAAGTGATATGGTTTTAGTGAAAGTGATTTTTTAATTCACTTGAGATTATTCACTTGTTTAGTGAATGAAATAACACTATCGGTTCTTTTTTTTACACCCACTATTGAGATTAAGGTTATATTGGTTTACTGTTATAGTTTAGCGATTGTTCTGTTTGCAATTTATTTAAATATTAAAAATTAAAAAACTATTTTTGAAAGCTTTTGATACTCCTGTCTCATTTTTTTCCAGATTACTAACCAAAACGTTTGGAAGTCTATAAGAGAAGATTATGTCCGACTCGCAAAGTTATGTGATCTGATTAATAAGCGTCTCTGTTGGCTCATTATAATCTCTTATCTTACTAATATCTATCACATTCTGGCACAACTGTTTAGCAGTTTGAAACCGATGGATGACACTTTCCAAAAAGTATATATTTATGTTTCTTTTTTCCTACTGATTCTTCGGGTCACGCTAGTCTGCTTCTTTGGTGGAGGTGTATATGAAGAACATGGAGAAATAGTAAAGGTCTTAACAGCTGTACCATCATCAGCTTATAACATGGAAGTAAGTTTTACCTTTTATTCAGCTACATGTTTCGGATAGTTATATATTTATTGAGTTGGAGTTATTTATCTCTAAAAAGTAAGTCGTGAGATTATTCCATAACTCCTGCATTGATCTTCTTTAGAAAACCCTTCTAAGCTAATGGTACTTGAATGATTGATTGATTAAAAATATTATAATCCTTCTGAATAAAAGGAACCTCTTTACATTTTCGTTTCTTTCTTGCGGTTCCCTGAAGAGAACTCTAGTCTTTGAAAATTAAATCTGATGTCGATTTGACCAAACATCTGCGAATTCATTTTTAAGTATAGTAAGAATATCTGTCCTCTATTGCTAAAATAATGTTTGCTTGAAGCTTTTTCACACTTATATGCTACTTAATAATCTTGTTTTAATAAGTATAAAAGAAAGTATAGAAAGTAACCCTAAAAAATAAAAAAGAAAATTAAGAACATTAGCAACGGCATATCACAGATACCAAACAGATAAAAATAGCTGTCATCACTATTTTTAAACAGAGGTACATAAATACTGTTGGCGCAAAGTTTAAATCAGAAACACCCATCTTTGACATTAGAATCTCTGTCGAAATATTGTATCTGAAAATTCCACAAGCAGAGGCGTGGTGGAAAGTACGAATAGCATTGGTAAAATGAAGAACCAAACGGCCAAACATATCTAAAGAAAAACAATCCACTTTAAGGCAAAATTTCTTATGTTTACTATGAGTTTAATATGGCGGGAATAGCGGGAAATAGGTGGGGCTGCGCCCCTAACATTTTGCGCTGGATGTATACCATGATAGTAAGACCCATGATTACTTATGGAGCAGTTGCTTGGTATACAAAACTAGAGCAACGTACAGCAAAGCAAAACCTGTGCAAAGTACAGAGACTGGCATGTATCTGCGTCACAGGTGCCATGAGAACATGTCCAACAGCAGCAATGGAGGTCATTCTAGACCTAACACCACTGCACATTGTCGTCGGTAGTTATGCCAATGCGACAATGATTAGAATTGTTACTGACGGAAACAGTAATGGGAGAATTTTCAGGTCAGGGGCTTGGAACACCCTCAAAAAGAAAATTCCACTTCTCCAACTCCCATTGGATGACATACCAAGAATTTACAACTTTGAGAAACACCTCACTGTAGTATTGAGTAATAAAAAGGATTGGAAGAAAGAGACGCTTACTCAGCATATAAAAGACCATACCATCATGTGGTATACGGATGCTTCCAAAACCAAAGCAGGGACAGGGATAGGAGTATTTGGGCCGAAAACTGAATACTCCGAACCAATGGGCACCTACCCCAGTATCCTTCAGGCAGAAATTTGCGCTATCGAAAGATGCGTACAATTTATCTTAGATAGGAACTATCGAAAACAGGAAACTGCCATCCTATCCGATAGTCAAGCAGCACTTAACGCAATCAACTCAGTAACCATCAATTCGAAGTTGGTCAAAGAATGCCTGGAAAAGCTCAACAAATTAGGCAAAGAAAATAAAGTCCTCCAACTCTGGGTGCCTGCTCACCAAGAGATAGAAGGCAATGAAAAAGCAAATGATCTAGCTAGAAAAGGAGCGAACACTCCACTAACTGGACCAGAACCGTTCTGTTTTCCAAACGGGAACCAACTGAAAGCGGAACTGAAGAATCTGGAAGACTCCATCCGTAACTTGGGATGGGTGTCCTCCAACGGTCTAAGACACTCGAAAAAGTTCCTTAGAACTTATGACCGAGAAAAATCAAAGGTTTTTCTTGATTTAAGTAAAAACAATCTTCGGATTGTCACGGGGTTTCTAACAGGACACTGTCTCCTCAACGAACACCTCAGTAGGCTGAAACTGAGAAACAACGGCGAATGCAAATTTTGTGGGGAAAATGGGGAAACACCAGAACACCTTATCACTGAGTGCGCCGAGACGACGACCATTCGTGCCATGAACCTTGGTACGTCTGATGTCGAGGATGGAGAGCTGGCCTCTGTGGAGCCGTCTCAGATACTGGCTTTTCTTAAAGCCCTGAGACTGTATGATGAGTTATAACTCGTTATAACTCAAGAAAGGGGAACACACAATAGATCTATAAGGTCGCGGTGATTAACTCCCTTCCTAAACATTCTACATTCTACATGAGTTTAATATTACAAACCGATAATAAAATTGCTTATATGTAATTCAATTAATTTTCTTGCTTATTTTAGGTCGAACGATTTGTTTCACACCTTACAACTTCGGAGATAGTATTAACTGGAAGACACTTTTTTAAAATTACCAGAAATCTTATTTTAAAGGTGAGTATATTCATATTCAAATTATTTATATGTTATATTTATATCCTACAAGTTTGAATTTTTAGGTTGCTAGTGCTGTGGTTACCTACGAATTGGTACTTATACAATTTAACTCAAAGGAGTTTAAAAGAAAGAATTAATCGTTTATATTGCAATAAATAGAGATAAAAATAATAGTTCTAACTGTTTTCATTTTTGAAAAAACCTCAACCTTAACATTAAGTGCTTTTATAAAAATGTAGTTTTATAACAATTTAGGGTTTCTATACGTCCGGATTTTTAGACTATCTGGGGCTGTCGGGTTAGGTTAGAGGTTGTCCGGTTAGCTTATCAACATTCAAACCGGTCTATTTTGAAAAAGCTCCCGGAAAACCGGACCGCAAAAACAATTTAGCTTAGTAAAATATTTTAGTATCTACGATGCTACAGCTCTACTTAACCGACGCATGTTCGAAAGTACCCATTTCAGTATTTTGGCGCTCAAATTTTTCGCTTTTGGTGCACTCCTGGAAAGTGAATGTTTTTTTGGTTTATATTTTGTTGATTTCGGGGCTTTTATTTGCGTCCTACGGATAGATGATATTGTGTATGCAACGAGACACTCTGTATAAAGGTGGTTACAGAGCTTTGCAAAACCGTTTCTTAAAATTTTTGTATGAAACTGTTGTTGAAACAAGGTGAGCCGCTAGTTTCTTCGAAACAATGACACATTTCCCTTGGGTTGTCCGTTGTTCTTATCAGATAAATAAAAATGTGTATAGATGATCAATTTAGACTCATAGGACATATCCTCCTCATCCTCATCCTGTAATAATTAACAATAATTATAATTAATAATAAATTTAATCTAATGAATTTGAAAACAATAAGTTACACAGTGACCAAATTGCATTTTTCATTTCATTTGCAACATTCGCTAAAACTTTTCTATTTAACATTTTTTCAAAAAAAAAGACATTGAATTTTACTCTAACGTTGGCTCACCCTGTACAGGGTGGTCGAAATTGGTCTGTTTTAACAGGGAAAACCTGTTTCCTGAGTAGATAGAACAAAACCCAAGCAAAACCGACGTAGATGTCATGGGCTCGATTTCTGAGACACGTTTAATGGCATAAACCGCCTGTTGGTATTTTCACTGCCAACTGATATACGGGGTCTTTTTGATTTTTGACCATTTTGAAAATTGCTTATAACTTTTTTAATTTGCGGAATAATAAAATTCTGTAAAGACGTTCCTAAGGCGCTTTTTTAAACACAATCCAGTGGCGTAGTCAGTTTTTTCTATACTTGCTCTTTTTGTCAGAAATAAATAAAAAATATAATTATTTAAATGGGAATCATAGTTCGCTATGAACTTAAAAAAATGCTGACGTTTAACCATTTCGAACGACATAAAGTTATGGGTGCCTATTTCTAAGAATGACAAAAATATTAGGGTTTTTTTATCTTTGTATCGAAGCGGGCCTTGATTTTGTGTTGACCTAGTTGCCTAAATATTTTTTATCGCAATTTAATATTCTATATTATTATTTTTCTGCAAAATTAAAGAGTTTTGAAAAGATAATCAACATTCTATATTAGTTTTACCAATTACAATTAAAACGCCATTAAATGGAGAATTTAGAGAGAATCGGATTGGAACAAGGGACCCCACATCTTGGCCTGCTAGGCCATGTGATTTAACTTCTTTCGAATTTTTTATGGGGAAAATTAAAAGACCTTATATAAGGGAAGAACCATTGGGACGAGAGAAGAATTGCAGAAGGCTACTAAGCAAGCTTTTGGACTTATTACACCAGTTTGCCTAATAAATCACTGTAACTCTGTGCGCAAAAGGTGTTTATTATGTATTCAACAAGGAGGTGCCCAGTTTGAACATCTTAGATGATTTTTTTTAGAAAACTATATTGATCAATCAAAAAATATGTTTGTTTATTGTATCGATTTCAATTGTAATTACTAAAACTAATATAAAATGTTAATTTACCTTTTCAAAAGTCTCTAATTATGCAGATAAATAATAATATAGAATATTAAATTGCGATAAAAAATAATTAGACAACTAGGTCAACACAAAATCAAGGCACACTTCGATACAAATATGAGAAATCCTAATATTTCTCTCATTCTTAGAAATAGGTACCCATAACTTTATGTCGTTCGAAATGGTTAAACGTCAGCATTTTTTTAAGTTTATAGCCAACTATGATTTCCATTTAAAAAATTATATTTTTTATTATTTCTGACAAAAAGAGCAAGCATAGAAAAAACTCACTACGCCACTGGATTGTGCTTCCAAATGTGTCTTAAGAACGTCTTTACAGAATTTTATTATTCCGCGAATTAATAAAGTTATGGGCAATTTTCAAAATGATAAAAAAATCAAAAAGACCCCGTATCTCAGTTGGCAGTGAAAATGTCAACAGGCGGTTTATGCTATTAAACGTGCCTCAGAAATCGAGTCCATGACATCTATGTCGGTTTTGCTCTATCTAGTCAGGAAATAGGTTTTCTCTGTTAAAACAGACCAATTCCGACCACCCTGTACATGCACACTTTGACAGACGTTGAATCACTTCGACACATACTCGAGAAAAAAGTCTCGGGGTGGGTACGACGTCTACACGAAGCTAGACTAGTTCTAGATGCTCCCAACAGCTTAAAAATATCCCCGCAATATATGGTGTAATATTCAATTTTACGAATAATATTAAAATTATTAAAATATAAAAATGTATTTATTTAATAATGCCGAAACGTAAGTGTACGATTACGAAAGAAATGCTTGGACCATTCTCTTCTTTAATTTCACCTTTAAATGTTCATAAATAATTTTATAGTTTCTTTTTAACGACAGATTTTGTTTGGATTTCAGAGTTTCACTTGTCCGGTATTTTCAAAAGCCTTTATGGTAGCCCTGTAACAATTAAATATTCCAAAAACATCTATTTTTAGCCGTATTAATATCCAAATCAAATGATATTTTCTAAACATAAATGTTTTTGTGTGTGGTTTGGGAATGTTTTACATATAGACTTAAATAAATTAAATATTTTATTATATGCACCTGTACACAAAGTACGCAGTTGTACACCAAGCGTACAAACACTGTTTCTCTCTGAATTTTTCCCTCTCCGGCTTAATATAAGATCCCATAGCGATTCTTCCATACACCGACACAAGAACGAGGCTTGCCAACGCGGTGTATGTTTTATGAAAATTCTAATGACACAAAAAAATTCTATTTCTGCTATTAATAATTAAAAAGATTAAAAAGTAAACTCCTGAAATAAAAAACAAGATTTTATTTATAAAATAATTGTTTCTGTTGGTACAATAATTTCATAAAAAATAGTTCCATTGGGATAAAAAATATTTACATAATTTTGTAAAAAAGTTAATAGCTCTTTATTCTCAAACCCTCTATATTTTTATGCAAATATAGTTTTGTACTCATTTTAATGAAAATGTTTCCAAATTTAAATCTATATCCCTACAGGAAATATGCTGTTATCTCTGGAAGATTATCACTTAAATGAGAATAAAATACACAGGAAGTTATAAATGTGATAAAATTTATGGTGTAAAGAATATTATCAGTAAAAATTAAAAATATGATTTACTTATATATACGAGTTCGTAAAATATGACTTACTTTACGAATTTAATGGGTATTGTTGCCTACTTTTGAATTGTTAAATCATTAAATATGTAAAAAACAAAACAAAAATATGATCAACTCTAGCAAAACCTATACACCGATACACATTATTTTTTCAGATAAAAACACGAAATTTGGTATGTTAGTATATGACATAAATTGGGATCGATTGGCGTATTCAATTGTTTTCGGTCACTTCCTGTTACACAGAAAATGACTACAACTTTTGATTTTCAAATGGCACCGTCAGATTTTTTTTTACTATTCAATAGAAACTGACACTCTGAATAGAATGACATATAATATGTCAATTTTGAAATTTTCCGGATACGGATAATTTGAAATTGTAACATGCAGTTCATAACGACAATTTGACTCGAAATACCAAGTGAGTGGTTCCAAATTATTATAAAAAAATGCTTTTTCCAAATATCCTAATGAGCCACCCTCGTTCCATTTGAAATAATTGAGATACAATTAAAAATACGTTTTGGGCATCGTTTAACTGTCTAGGGCAAGACACTAAAACATTAGACAATCAAATCTTTTTTTTCAAGGCTCCTTGATTAAAAATTAGTATTTTTAACACAGCCATGGCACTCTAAATTGAACTATAATTTTTTTTTCATGCGAAAATATCAAAAGTTGACATATATGTTTCATATGTCATTCTATTCAGAGTGTCATTTTGTATCGAATTAAGTAAAAAAATACCGAGAATGCCATTTAAAAATCAAAAGAGGTAGTCATTTCCGGTGAAACAGGAAGTGACCCAAAACAATTGAATGCCTCAAACAATCCTAGTTTATGTCATATACTAACATACCAAATCTTTTTTTTATCTGAAAAAATAAAAAAAAGTATAGGGGTGAGTCACTTTTGAAGCGCACCCCGTATATAGTAAAATAATGTAATTTTTACTACAATAATGATTCAAAATTGTCAATTAACTGAACAATAACCATATTATTTCCAAGCTTGTCTTGTAATACCCAGATAATATTTTGACAGAAACAAAGCAAGTAATAGTTACAAAAATTAATATAGATACTAAAAAAATTATAACCAGATAATCAAGTTCATATTTAGTGTAAATATTAATTTATCATTCAAACTGCATATAGTTTTTATTATAAAAAATATTTATTAAAAGAAAACTTAATCCTTTTTCTCTTAAGTGTCTTCAATGGAGGGCAGCCAAAAAGCCATGTTTGTACATGCTGACGCTAACATCATGAATTTTGGGTTAAACTGAACACATTGCACAGGCCCTGGGTGGTCAGCATTCAGTACACACACCTTATACCCTGTATCGGCATTCCAGACATGCACTCTTCCATCGGTTGAGCCACTAAATATAAACTGAGAATCTGGACTGAAAGATGCTTCTATAGGAATACCTAGGAAAAAAATATGATTGTTAGATCTTTTTTCATTTTTTTTTCTTCATAATAATTATTTAAATATATGTACACGGTTTTGCAACAGTACATTGGGCATGTGTAGCTTTATTGGCATGGAAAAACTTAAAAATTTTGTTCAAGTGCATTTCAGGAAAATATTTTAACTTCTACATGATGGTACAAAAAAGTGTGAGTGGATTTAGAGTATTTTTTTTAAGTAGAATACCCTGTATAATATTAACCAAACCAAACAAAAAATCCCCTGTATACCCAACCCTCACCAAGTTTAGCATAAAATTTTGAACACCCTGCGTTATTTAAGATTACAATATTTATAATATAATAAGTACAGACCAACTATAGTAAGTACCTCGCATAGTTTTGTTTTCACAGCACATCTTATAGTTTTATTGTTTTTTTTTCTTAGTAAAGGCTGAATATTGTTTCAAATATTTATTTATTTATATATATCTCTAAAATTATTAAAAAAAAATAATATCTTAGGATGAAGGATCAATTTGAGCCACCCTGTAGAAGCTAAAATATTTTCTTGAAATAGATCTTTTGAATTACCAATAGTTACCAACACAGGTAGTCACAGTCACAGGGAGTTCAAGTTTAAGGTGAATGCCCAAAAGTTTAATTTCAATCGGATAGTATAAAAACGAAACAAAGACTAGTTATAGGGTTAATTGAAGAGCATTCAAAAGAAGAATTGGGTTTTGCAAGTACTGTGAGCTTTAGGGCTAGTGGAAGTAAGGATGGTGCTGTAATTGTTGAAACCTCAACTCCATCGAAAGGCACTGAGGTTAACAAATTAATAGCTGTCCATACACGGAAAAGCCCAGCCTTCGGACTTGGCCTTGAGGTAGGGGCTTTCTCCCATAGGAAATACCATGTAAATTTTGAAAAGGTTCAATATTATCTCCCCAGATGATTTTATGCAAAAATTGTATTAGACTTTTGAAGAGGTGTTAAAGTTGTACTGTCATCTAGAATTTTGTTTTATTTGGAATAAGCATCTAAAAGTTATTTGCAAAAATCTACCTTCAAATTACTATTCAGATCGAAAAAAAGGGTCTCAGCGATGGCTATGAAATGAAGATTGCTGTCATTTTATATGTAAAATTATATGGGGAATGTCATCAATAGTCATTTCCAAGCCAACTGGTCGCCGTTTTTTCTTTTGATCATATGATGCTATCTATATTTCACAAATTCACAAATAAATATCTTCACGTTACTGTCTATTCAGTAACTTGAAAAATATAAAATGTGTATAGTATTTTTTTAACTAAAATGTCCTACATAATAAATAAGTAAACATTAAATGTTACCTTTATTATTCAAATGCCCTGTAAATGTCTGTAAAGGCGTCCCATGGAAAGCATCCACCAATCGTATAATTGAACCATTAGTACTAATCAAAATTGTTTTTCCATCTCGGGAAAATTTCAAACCCGTCCAGTCACATTCTTTCTCTTGTGTTAGTTTGAAATTGATAAATGGGCCTTTGTCAAACGATCGTAGATCGTACAGTTTAATCAATTCTGAATTAACACCGGCAGCAAAAATCAAACCTTCTGGATCATAAGCAGCCACTGGGCGACCTGATAAATGCATTAAACCCTGACAATTTGGTGATCTTAAGTCCCATAATCGAAGAGTTTTATCAAGTGATCCAGATAGAAATGTATCTTCAACTGGTGAAAGACAGAGAGAAACAACCTTTTTCGTATGCCCTGGAAAATACCTATTAAAAAAAGTAAAAAAAATTAATACCGAATTTAAATAAAACCTTAGTATATCAAAATTTTACCTAATGTATTTGTTATCATGGAGAGACAAGTATCTTATTGTATCGTCAACTTTGGTTGAACTATGAATAGCTGTATTTTTAGCATGTGTAAAGTGTATTAAATCAACTCCATACTTCTTGCTATTGACTGTCCTAACTTGAGTTCCTTTTTCGCAGTCGTAAATAACAATCTGATCATCTTCACTACAAGAAATTAACGTTTCGCCGTTAGGAGAAAAATCAATGCTGTTAATCTTATCAGTGTTCTCTCGAAATACTTTGGCGACTCGAAAACTACGTACTACTTGATCTACAAGCTTCATTTTCATTATTAGAATTAAGAAAAATAGTTATTTTCTGTTGTTTATAATGGTAAATTCATATTCAATGTGTTATTAATATTCAATCAAAAAACGACGCCAAAAGTATATCAACCTTGGCCAAAAGTCATAAAATAAAAACCATAGTAACCACAGAATAAATTAGTAGTATTTTAGTTTAACGGCCTGAGCTGCCAGGGCTATTCGGAAACACATACAGAATAAATAAAATTTACATTCTTCTTTTCTGGCTTAAGAGCTCTGTGAAATTTTATATTGTAGCCAAATTGTAGCCAGCGGTAGAAGCTCTCGGTTGAAGTCAAAATATGTGACAACTTCAATAGACGGCATTGCCTTTGGCATTGCTTTAATGACCTATCGGGAAAAGGTGTTTCGACTTGAACGTTGCCCATAGAAATAGAAGGGATAGAGAATGAGCGTCAACATGCGCAGAAGGTCTAATCAAGTGGGGCGCCATATTCCAGGCAGTGCCTTCTATTAAAAGATCAGCCTACGGGCGAGATTTATGACGTCACGCTAGTTAGATATAACGGATTAATAAATATGTTGTAGAATACATGGAAAACATAATTATTCCTCAGATTTTTGGTTTGTATTTTAAAAATGATATAGTTTAAATGAAATATACATAATATACAGTTAATAACTACAACATATATACCTATTTATAGTAATAAATACTTTGGCAAATAAACTATGAACCATACAAATGCAGCAAATGTTTTACAATGTACAAATAATGTATAGGTACATAAGATAATGGGTAAAATGTAAATATATTTTAAATTTTGGGGTTTGAAAATCGATCTAATTTAACAAAAAACATTTAATATCTACTAATAGTGATGTATTATTATTTGCATTCACAAAATTTATATGTATATTTTGCAAGTATCAATGTTCGAAAAATTATATTTACAAATAATACAATATTATCTAAAAAAAGGCGTCAGCGATGGCTATGAAATGAAGATCGCTGGCATTTTATATGTTAAATTATTCTAAAATTTTTGATTTTCTTGGGATTTTAGGTTCGGGAAAAACGCTGATTAAGTTTTCATTTGGGTTTTCATTATTTTTATTTGGTTTAAAAAAAAACGTTTCGGCTAACTATAGCCTTCACAGTGTTGTGTCATATGAGAAAAATAGTGTCGAATATAATCCAAAAAATTACATATACAATATAATTCACACCTCATAATGTTTACTGCAATTAATAAACTAATATAAACTTATCAAAAGATGACCACATATTTTTTTAAAATTATTATTCTTAACACTAAAATTATCTACATTGACTATGGAGTACGCAGTAAACATTATGTGCGTGGTGTGAATATTTTATATGCAATTTTGGATTATATTCGACACTATTTTTTTCATATGACACAACACTGATGGAGGCTATAATGTTAGCCGAACCGTTTTTTTTTAAACCAAATAAAAATAATGAAAACCAAATGAAAAATCAATCAGCGTTTTCCCTGAACCTAAATTCCAAGAAAATCAAAAATTTAGAATATTTAGAATCAAGGTTCAAGAATATCAAATTTTCCAAGATTGTAAAATTCTAGTTAATTATTTTATGTGTACAGTTATTTAGGGAATGTCATCGATGTTCATTTCAAGCCAACTAGACGCCGATTTTTTCGATGATACGGTATAATTCTTACGTAAAATGTAAATAACATTAGACCAATTAAAACAAAGAAATATGAATTTCTTAGTATTTTTAGTAATACCTTTATTCTTAAAACTTAATTTTGTATTATGCAAATATACCAATTTTATTGTTATTTTATTCATATTGTATTCAGCCATCACTTAAATATTTGATATTAATTTGGTATTATAAATAATCAATACTATTCATTAAAAATTACTGAACAAATATATGTTATGCTTAACATACATTATATATTATCAAACAAAAACACATTCTTCTTTTAAACTGTATCAGTCTTGTCTTTACAAAAATCTTTTTAAAATTTGAACTCAAAATAATAATCTTTTTCATGATCTCTAATACACATATTCTTTATTTTTCCCTAGTTCATAATACCTACTTACGTGTTTTGAATCTATCGAAGCTGAACCAGCAACACTTGGAGTGGAGATTCCACAATATGAATAAAATAAACATAATTGTCCAGTTTCATTAATACCATCATGGGAGAATATTATTTTTAAATTTATTAAAGATATTTTCAATAAAATTCTCTTGATTTATAACTCGTACCCACTTTTCTTGCTCTTCCGGACACTTTAGGCTGCCTAGTATAATAACTATCCTTAGTAACTATCCTTTCCACCAGGAACACAACAAAGATGAGGCATAGCACCAATAACACACTCCACTTAAGCTTTATTGATGAATTGTTAGAGTCTTAAAAAACACACACAAAAATCACGATAAGTAAAAAATGTATGGGCACTTTTAGGTTAAATCACTTGCACAACGTGTAATTTTTAAAATTTCTATTTTTTTATGCGAAACCGAGAGTGACCATATATCTGGTAGTAGTTTATGTCACTTCAACACCAAAATAATTAGTTTTTTGCACTACAATAATAAATAATACCAAAAATCAAAGAGTTAAAACCAAAAATCAACCAACAAAATATGAAACGGAATCTAACCCAATATCTAAGTATGTACAGCTGATGAAGTAAACAAAAGTCCGCCCGTTGGCTGATCTTTTAATAGAAGGCACTGTTCCAGGTCTTCGTGTCATTTTGTATATAGGTGGTAATCTATAAGTAATCAAATATCAATTTGCTGTTTTCAACCATACGGGGGGCAATTTAAATTTAGTGAAATTCTATCATTTATTATGGTTAGTTAACATTAATATGATTTATTTAATTATCAGTTTCAAAACTGCGTACAATATTGGTATATAATACACTAAATATACGAATATTCTGACAAAAGACGCTACGGATAGATGACCTTTTCGTCGTTAAACACTCGAAATGATATTAAATAAGTATTTACAATATTTCATGTTTACTTGTACTGAATTACGCGTTTCAATTTAAAATTTTTGCAAATTTGGTAAAAATTGTTCTAAACAACTTTTTGTTCAAGTTGTATATTCATAAAAAACATTTGGTTCATAATTATTTTTGATGATTACCTACCTTGTATTTTTAATATAAACCTAGAAAAAATATGTTTTTGTTTTATTTTTTTTATTCGTCCCTTCAAATTGTGTTACAAAAACTGTTACATAACATGTCCTCTAACAAATATTTTCATAATACATAAACATCATTGATTTTATTAAGGGTATTATTATTAGTATTTATCTCCTGGTTTTTGTCGACAATAAAAACTCAATCTTGTAATAGAACATCAATTTTATATTTCGTAAAATTATTTTGATACAAATTCAATTTGTCAAAATTCAAGTCATTAATATACTGATAAACAACACAAATTATTCCTAAATATTATATTATAAAAAAAACCTGTTACCGGTAAGTTTGTAAAACACATTATGGTTTGTCTTAATACTAGAAAAAATCATTTATTTTTTGCACAAAAGAAGCCGATCCTTATTTGTCCATAACAAAATTCTGCATGTACAACATACATATACCTAATTTATTATTAAGAAAATTAGATTATATGATCTCAGAATTTTAAGAAAATTTTTTAAGATAAAATAGTTTCTTCTCAACTGTAATATTGTCAACTTTGGCCTGCATTTTATCTATTTAAAAACATGGGATTGACAATCCCCTTACTAAAATACATACTGGAAGGTACTGATTAAGTTTCATTGCATCAAATACCTTTGCTATAAATCCTGGCTCACAATTTAAGGCCATTGCAAAATGCTTTTGAACTTCATCATAGATTTTACAAGAATAAAAGTGTAATATTGAAACAAAGTAACATTGTAAGCTTCATGACTAATAGTCTCATTTTTAACACTTTTTAAATATCATCTCGTTAACAATTATGAATATTATATGATTTTTCTCAGTGATTTGTGGCACTGATACAAATTAATATATGCCCCATAACAGTTTTTAAATAAGAAACTTCTGCCCACAGATTTAATTTTCTTATTGGCATAATACCCTTTCTTCCTATATAAATCTTGCCATTTTTTCAGTCCAATGTTCCTTGTTTTTACAGTTGTAGGAATACTAAAAATGTTGACTATAGAACTCGATACTATGTTTGAAAAAGCCTTCATACCTGTAACTATGCATAAATCTAATTAACTGAATTCTCCTCCTCTTGACTCTGAACACTGTTGCTGCTAATGTTAGAAATATTTAGCACAAAACTACAACTACCTACAACAAACTTTACAATAAAAATGTTAAATTTTCGCTGTTCGATTAAAATACCCTATCTTATGATTTCTTTTCCTCCAAATAATCTTCTTGTCAAGTAAGGACCAATCTTATTTGACATATTTCTGGTACACTTGAACTTGTGCTTTCATGGACACTATAAGAGTGCACTGTTTTACAGAAGCACGAACATTGATTCCAAGTATCTTCTTCCTCCACACGTAATAAAAACATCCTCTTTAAATGGCCACATCATACACTTATTTTTGACATCCCAATTACAATCACGATTTTTACAAATCGCCTTTAGGAAAACTAAAAATAAACAGTTTTGGATCATCTGTAAACACGATTATGTTGTATAAACTTACACATGAAAACTAATCATTTTTCTCGGCGTATTAGCTTTCTTAGAATGACTATGACAATATACAACAAGCCTTTTGAATTAGTGTTTAGAATAATTGAGATAATAATAAATTTTAACTAGATAACAACACAAACGAAAAAAAAACAAAACAAACAGATGTCAATTAAAGAGGGGAAGTGACAGCGAGACCTGGAAGATGTCTGCCATCTTGCCGTCGACAAAAATTTGGATGCGCACTCGTCGAAGCTCATTCTCCCACTTCCATATCTCTGACGTTGCCCAGCCCTTGGCCGCCCACTTGGGCCGCCCAGCCCTAGTACTACTCAAGGTTGCTGCGAATTCACGTTTCTTGATGATTTTTTTTTTCCTATTTTTGGCCACTTGTCTATTACGACATTCAGCCAGCTTATTTCTTATTATTTAATTAGCGTTTAAAATTGGACAAATACAGACTCACACACACATTTAACACCCATGTCCGAGGCCGGAATCGAACCGTCGACCTTGCGTCTACTAGAATGCGGCGCAATCATTTCGACCACAAGGCCGACCTTCTTGATGATGAACCTCCACCAAATTTTGGAAAGAAGAAAGAAGTTATTGATGTATTAACCACAAAATTCTAAAATTGTAATGTTGATTTTTGAGAAAATTTGGACAAAATAACATTTAAACATTTATTCCAGTGTTTAAACTGAAAGTGGAGGAAAGTATATTAATAACAGGGTTTAAAAAATAAATATTACTCTCTATCTAATTAAATCAGAATGAATAACATTAAATCACCCTTAATCTTTGAAATAATTGGAAAATGTGAAACATCAAAGGCCAGAGTAGGAAGAATGACTTTACCTCATGGTCCCGTTGATACCCCTGTATTTATGCCAGTTGGGACTCAAGTAAGATTTCACATCATTCATTCAACATAGTTAAAAAGTCATATTAGTATTTGTTTGTAGGGAACATTAAAGGGGATGTTACCAGAGCAATTGAAAGCGATGAATTTGCAAATAATGTTAGCCAATACTTACCATCTTGGTACGAGACCAGTAAGAGAAGGAAATATAATTTTTTGAGCAAATAAATAAAAAAAACATATTTTTTCAGGGGCCCAAGGTTTTAAAAAAAGCTGGCGGTCTGCATAAATTTATGAATTGGGATGGAAATCTATTGACAGATTCAGGTGGTTTTCAAATGGTTTCTCTTTTAAAATTAGCAGAAATAACAGAGGAAGGTGTTAAGTTTCAATCGTTAAATGAACATAAAAATGAAGTTATGTTAACCCCTGAACATTCCATCGAGATACAAAATGCAATTGGGGCTGATATAATTATGCAGTTAGATGATGTAGTAAGCACTACAGTTCCAGATAAGGCTCGAATAGAAGAATCTGTTCATAGAACAACAAGGTGGTTAGATAGATGTCTTCAGGCACACCAGAATCCAGATATCCAAAGTATATTTCCAATAGTACAGGGTACATTATTCGAAGATTTAAGAAGAATTAGTGCTAGTGAACATATAAAAAGGGATGTAAATGGTTTTGCTATAGGAGGACTGAGGTAAAAAGCTATCATCGATAACGACCATCCGCAAAGTGTAACCTGATATAATAGTAATAAAATACAATAAATATTTTCATTTTAGTGGAGGAGAAAGTAAAGATGACTTTTGGAAAATAGTCAATTTATGTACAGATTTATTACCCAAGAATAAACCAGTTTATCTAATGGGTGTAGGTTTTGCTGTAGATTTAGTTATATGTTCAGCATTAGGTGTTGACATGTTTGATTGTGTTTTTCCAACAAGAACAGCAGTATGTATTTAAATGAGCTAAGTATTTTAAATAACTAATAAAAAAATAATTAAATATTTTAGAGATTTGGTTGTGCTCTTTTAATGAATGGCCAAATTAATTTAAGAAAGAAGCAGTATGCTTTGGATTTTAATCCAATTGATAGTGATTGTACATGTAGCACATGTAAAAACTATACAAGAGCCTATTTGCATGGAATAGTTACTGAACTACCTGTAGCATGTCATTTACTTACTGAACACAATTTAGCATTCCAATTAAGGTAAGTATACACAATTTTTTTTCAGTTCTGCAATTAAAGTACCTATGACATATTTTTGTGAGTTCCAATCCTTTTATTATTGTTAGGTTAATGAAAACAATACGTGAAAATATTCTTAATGGAACATTTAAAGAATTTGTCAAAAAATTTATGGAAGATTTATACCCTAAAAAGGATTATCCAAGTTGGATAACCGATTCTTTAATAGCAGTTAACATCACTCTCTAAGTTATAAAATTAAGCACTAAGTACAAATACCCCACAGTTACTATTCCAGTATTTCATTATACCAAACTATTTATTTTTACCAGTTTTTTAAATAAACGTTTTTAAAAAAATCATGGCATTTTTATTGTAAATATAAATGCTATATGGAACAGTCAAAATATCTTATGTACATTATTATAAAGTGGTCTCAGAAGTTACATGAAATCATCAGAATCATTTCCATCATCATATTTATTCATATTTTCACTGCTCATAAGAGAGTTATAGCTTCTCAGCTCTGCATCCTCTCTTCTCCTTTTTTCTTCCTCCTCTTCTTTTCTCTTTTGTTCCTTTAATAGTTTCTTTTTATCTTCTCTTTCTATCTTATCTCTTTTTTCTCTTTCAGCCCTAAAATCTACAATATTACTATTTATGGGACTACACCTAATATTTTATTTAAAATTACCAGGATGTTCCTCCTTTTTGGTTTTATTTAGTCGATTGACAATTTCATTTATCCTTTTGGCTACTTTCATTTTTTTGACTTCGCTTTCTTTATGAAACCCAACTTGACCAACCTCCATACCTGGCGTTTTTTTGAGATTAGACCACATTGTGTAGACAATAGATATATCATTCATTTTATTTCCTGTAATACTGTTGGCCTTTACCAACTGGGCTGCATCCTCAAGTACAGCAGATGGAATATCATCAATAGTTTGCCCCTAAAAATTGAGTATTTTTAAAACACAATTAATTTCAATTAGTTATTACCTTAACCTGTCCTAATCTCAAGTAAACATGGGCAGACGATAATTCATCAACATGAAACCACACATCTTCAGGCCAACCCCATTTAATTAAATCTTCATCTGTAATAATTAATAAATAATATTAGTTTGGTTAGTCTTTTTTATTCAATATTTACTCACTTTCAAATTTGTCCGCGCCCATAAAAAGTAATACGGGTGGAGAAACAACCGTACTTTGGAAATGAAACACCATTCTGTTTTGTGAAAAATAAGGAATTTGGTTGCTTTTATCGTTCTAATTAAAAAATATATATTAAATTGTTATTTGTTACAAACCGCTTTAACAAATACACACAAATGCAAAAAAATAAATACCTGGAATTAACCCCACTTCTTAACATTAGTATATCGATTTAATGGTCATAGCTGCTAGAGCTATCCGGCCGGAGAATTGAATTAACGTCTTCTTCTTTCCTTCGGTTAATGGTTTTAACCGATCCTAGTAAGGACTATAATCTCTGGGACTATAAGACCCAAGAAAGCCTTGCCAAAACGTCTGCTTTTAGATGCTAGGGCTAATATGGACGTGGTCTACTTCTTATGTGGAATCCGAACCACGATCCTTAGCCAGGTAATAGCCTACCAAGATGCTACCAAGCAAGACTACGAGATAAGACTTCGGTGTTGAGATTTGAACACCGGTTTTAGGTGATGATGATAACCCATCTTTGTGACAACCGGTGTTCAATCTCACTGTTCATCTCAACACCGGTATTTATCTCGACACCGATGTTCATCTCGACACCGGTGTTTATCACGGCATCCGTTTTTATCCGACATATACTTACATTAGGCTTGTTGAAAATGTTATAGCTGAATCGGGGATCTTAAACGAGGACAAAAAACTGGGAGTTTCGGTAACACGTCTCTAAGGAACCTGTATTTCCCGGTTTTATCGTTTCGACACTGTTATTTATCTCAACACTGGTGTCAAGATGAACACCGATTACCGACTACAGCTACTACGGCACCGGTTTTTATCCGACATCTACTTACATTAGAGTTGTCAGATTGTCATAGTCGACTACGTGGTCGTAACTGGGTCGTCAGCGAGGACAAAAAAACGGGAATTTTGGTCCCACACCTCTAAAGAACCGGGACTTTCCGGGTTTCTCGGTACTTTCGGTACTAGCTAATTTTTGTTAAATAATGGTATAATTCCTCAAACAGCAACCAAGGAATAATTTTCCAAACTAAAATTGTTAAAATAAATGTTTGCATGAACACAAGCAAAGAAAAAATATAAGAATCGGATATAAGTATCCTAAAATACATCTATCATTGTATATACGAGGTATATACAACCTAAACCAACTTAAGTAAAAAAAAAATTTCCTTACATTTTTTAATTAAAAATGCAAGGTGATTAACATTTTATAAAATTTATTTATTAAAAGCCATAAAATTTATTTAATATTGATTTCTTATTAATCGCTTGATATAAATAATAAACAAACATCAAAATATTGAACAAATGCTACGCCGTAATCACAGCCGTAATCCGTAATATTAATAGTGCCTTGTAATATTAATAGTTCGACTCTATTTTAGTCTATAATTTTTTATGTTTTTTGTTAGTTAGTATTGTCATTTGTACAATATTTCTTTGTTTAAATTAATAAAAAAATACAATTTAACCGTTTTAGCAACTCTACATTATTTCTGAATTTTAGTTAAGAAACCCATCTTAGGGAACAGGCTATACCCATAAAAATACATTTGTCATTTTTGCGCCATATGCAACTAAACATACATCTTGTTTGAATTTTGAATCCAAAACAGCAAAATACGTTTTTAACCTTAAAAAAACCGACATTTATATTTATTACAAATTATAATTAAATTATTCTTTTAATTTTTTATTCCACTATTCTAGGGTATATAAAGAAATAATTCAGTTATTTGAGTCTTTTCTGTGATTTCATGTTACTAGATAAATCACTCTCTATAGTTCTACCAGAAATCAAGGAAACCTTACAGTGTTTATAGGAATTGAAACTTTAAAATCATGGCTCAATTTAATATTATTGCGGCAGGATTTAACCAGCACGATGAAACAATTAATTTTGGAGGTAGGTTAACAGCTGGAGACCAAAGCCTCTACGAGATAAGGACTCTTGCAACAATTAAATCTGAAAATATTTCTGACTCTTCGGTAAGTCCTCCATTATATAGTATAATATATTTCTTATAGTACAGGATCCCGCTGCAGGATTAGTATGTTTATTATGTAGTTAATCAAAATCTAATTTTTACATATACAGAGGGTGTTTCAATATTCCGTAGACATAGAACTACCAAGTATTTTCGGAATGAACATAAGTACATTGGACCCAATTTATCTCTATACAAAAGGGCTTCATTTGAACATTAGAGGACATCAAGCTTTAAAAAAATAAACACGATTTTTAAGATATTTTAAGAATTGTTATTCCGATTTGAATGAGATTTGGGGTACTTGTGTTTTGCTAAGCACTTTAACATTCGACTTTCACAAAAAACAAAAAAAAACTACCGGAAGGTTGAAAACTATCCCCACCCCTACACAAATTTTAGTAGAAATATTTTCCAACTCCACCGATGACGGATTTTTTTTTCAGATAATCGTCCTTCTAGCCTTTGCTACATTTTTTGGCTCTTGTGGAAAAACGCCACATTGCATATTTTTTTGAGAAAAAAAATGAGAATTCCTTTTCCAAAGCAGACCTTCAAAATATACAGTGAGTTCCAATACTCCTTGGACATAAAACAACTCCATAATTTTTGAATTGAAATAAGTTAGAAGGACCATTTTACGGAAAAAAAGTCAGTCATCGGTGGAGTTGCAAAATAATTTTGGTTACAATTTATATACGGGTGGGGCAGGGGTGGATGGGGAAGTGGAAACCGGCCCGGGAAAAACAGACAACCGGCCCAAATCCACGAAAACAAAATGATCATAATGAAGAAACATATCTTATTTATTAATACAAGGTGTCCCAGAAATAAGTGCAAGTATTTTAACTGGTAGTATAGTTCAACCCCCCAGAAACACGCCTATGAGGTTTTTTTTCGCAAAAAAGAATTTTTTGAAAAATGTTTTGGAAATTTTTTTAGTTTTTAGTTAAACAACAGAATTTCTTGATAATATGGCAACATAGGTTTTACAAGAAAGAAAATCCAGAAAAGATCCAGTGGTTCTCAAAATTTGAGCAAAAAAATATTTTTTTGGAAATTTTCAAAGTAAAATAACTCCGTTATTTTGGACTTATTTTAAAAACGGTAAAGAGAAAATATGTTTCTTTTATCGAGATCTACCACTCCTTAAAATACTTGCACTTATTTCTGGAACAACCTGTATAGTTCTTATCACGAAACTTTTCCTCTATAGTTTTGTACATTTGGCATCTTGTATGATAATGCCATGGCGCAAACGAAAAAAACCTAGGCAATACCTAGGCAGTGGATATAAATGTGTTCTGATGTAATGTTATGTTACAGTCCATAATAAGAATATTTGGATTTTCGAGACATATTAATATTTTATTATCTGATCTAGTTTAAACCTTATTTAACTCTTCTCTGCTGTCTCAGTAATTTTTAGCAAATTAATTTTAGCAACATTTTAAACAACAATTTAGACTTGGCTTTTAGTTCTCAGACTTGACTTTAGTCCGTCCCCAATTCAAGCCAAGCATATACATATATGTTTTCTCCGTCAACCGCAGAGTTCGCGTCAAATTCGTCCAAAGGGGAGCTCGATAAATATTGCACCGTGGCCCGAGGCCCCCAGTTGTCAATCTACGCTATCGTATTCTTAGTATACATTTAGATCGAGACTATTTAAATTTACCTAATGCTATTCATCCTTTTTTTTTGCTGCCAGTCAGTCATATTTATTAGTTATTAATAAAAGAATATTGGGTAAAATCATAAAGGGTGAGTCTTAAATAAGTGCAAATATTTTCAGTGGTTGTATATTTCGACCCCAGGAACACGTCTATGAGCTTTTTTTGCAAAAAAGATGTTAAAAATCGAGCATTTTCTTTTAAATTTTCCTGTATACTTTAGAAAACTTTTTAGAACTACCGGCGTGAAGATAGCCACGGTTTTCCATCCACGGTTTCAGAAAAATCCCAACCATAGTAAACATATGGCAACGACGCTTTTCGTCCGATTTCAGCCACATCCACGGTTTTCGGTGTCGAAACGCCTCATTTAAAATATATCTACAGCGACACTTTTCTATTTGTTTATTAATAAAGATTTAGAAAGAGGAGAATTATATAATAAGTTAATAGAAATGGTCGAGTTTATATTATATAAAATGAACAATTATTTATGAGAGATATAGATTTAACTTTAAAATCCTCACCAAAATTTAAATTCTATATCTAGTTCTTAGCAGAATTCGATACTAATTTAAAGGTTGTGCCACAGCGAGACCCTTTGGAAAGATGTATATAGGTGACCCCAAATTTTTACTACCTATACTCAAAACCATTTTGCCAGTCTTTAGGAAAGGGCCAGATTCAAAAAACCGATATTTTACATAAGAATTAGACCTTCAAAAAATCGCCACCAGTTTGTTAAAGGGTTTGTGCCACAACAGGGATGGCCATCTGGAAACGATATTACACAGATGACAAGAATTTACACACCACCCACGTAATTCAAAATCATTGCCGGTCCGTAGGAAAAGGGCCAAGTACAAAAAACCGCTGATTCTCCTAAAAGAGAATTAAAATGGGTAGGTTCATACAGCCAAATAAAATAAAAATAAGAATAAAATAAAAATAAAATAAGAAAGTTGGTTATATGGGATTACCGTACGTACGTTCATACAGCCAAATAAAATAACAAATAAAATAAAGAAGTCTTTATCTTTTAACTTCTTGTTTTTATTTTATGTAACAACTGCGCACGCTTAATTCCTAACCTACAAATATTTTCAGTTTGGATTTAATTTTATTTTATAATTTCACATAAGTAAAATCTATAATATAGTAGGCAACGAATAAAATAAATATACTATAAATAGTAAAATTACTATAAACAATCGTAAAGTTAACTTTTATCAGCCTCATCGTACTGCGCATGAGCAAATATATATTCTTAATATTTTATTTTATTTCACTCTTGTGAACTTACTTACATAAGGAAATTCCTTATTTCTTATTTTTATTTTATTCTTATTTTATTTTATTTGGCTGTATGAACCCACCATATGAAAAAATTGTAGCTCATTTATTATTAAGGGTTGTGCCGCAACGAGACCATCTGGAAACGGTGTACAGATGACAAATTGCCTTCACCCGTATTCAAAATCATTTACCGGGTCCGTGACAAAGGGTCAGAGTTCAAAAACCCGCTGTTTCTCATGAAAATTAACAGAAAAAATTGTAGCTCATTTATTAAGGGTTGTGCCGCAACGGAACCACCCTGGAAACGTGTGTACCAGATGACAAGGGTATACCACCCCGTATTCCAAAATCATTTTGCCGGTTCCGTGGAAAGGTCAAGTTCAAAAACCATATGTTTCCCTTGAAAATTAACAGAAAAAAAATTGTAGCTCATTTATTAAGGATTTGTGCCGCAACAGGACCACCTGGAAACGATGTACAGATGACAAGGGTACACCACCCCATATTCAAAACCATTTGCCGGTCCGTAGGGAAGGGCCAGAATCAAAAACCGCTGTTTTTCTTGAAAATTAACAGAAAAAATTGTAGCTCATTTATTAAGGGGTTATGCAACGAGACCACCCTGGAAACTGATGTACAGATGACAGGTACACCACCCCGTATTCAAAATCATTTGCCGGGGTCCGTAGGAAAGGGCCAAAGTTCAAAAAACCGCTGTTTTTCTTGAAAATTAACAGAAAAATTGTAGCTCATTTTATTAAGGGTTGTGCCGCAACGAGTCCATCTAGAGCGATGTACAGATAACAAGGGTACACCACCCATTATTCAAAATTATTTGCCGGTCCGTAGAGGGAAAGGGCCAAGTTCAAAAACCGCTGTTTCTCTTGAAAATTAGCAGAGAAAAAATTGTAGCTTTTTATTAGGGGTTGTGCCACCAACGAAGGATCCACCTGGAAACGATGGCTACCCGGATGTGAAATTTTTATCACCCCGTATTAAAACCATTTGCCGGTCCGTGGGAAAAGGACCAAGGATTCAGAAAAAACCGCTGTTTTTCTTGAAAATTAACAAGAAAAAATTGTAGCTCATTTATTAGGGTTGTGCCGCAACGAGTCCACCTGGAAACGATGTACAGATGACAATTTTACCACCCCGTAATTCAAAACCATTTGCCGGTCCGTAGGAAAGGTTAAGCAGAAGTTCAAAACCACTGTTTTCTTGAAAATTAAGAAAAAAAAATTGCTTGTAGGTCATTTATTAAGGGTTATGCACCGCAACGAGTCCATCTGGAAACGATGTACAGATAACAAAGTTACACCACCCGTATTCAAAATCATTTGCCGGTCCGTAGGGAAAGGGCCAGTTCAAAAACCGCTGTTTTTCTTGAAAATTAACAGAAAAAATTGCCAGCTCATTTATTCCAAGAGGGGTTGTGCCACAGCAGACCATCTGGAAGCAGTGTACGAGATGACAAGGGTATACCACCCGTATTCAAAATCATTTTACCGGTCCGTAGGAAAGGGGCCAAGTTCAAAACCGCTGTTTCTCTTGAAAATTAACAGAAAAAATTGGTAGCTCATTTATTAGGGTTGTGCCACCAGCAGGACCACCTGGAAACGATGTACACGGATGACAAGGGGTATACCACCCCGTGACTAAAGAATCGTTGCCGGTCCCCGTAGGAAAAGGGCCAAGTTCAAAAACCACTTTATTTCCCTTGAAAATTAACAGAAAAATTGTAGCTCATTTTAGTAAAGGGTTGTGCCACAGCAGGTCATCTAAGGAAACGATGGCCCGCAGATAACAGGGTACACCACCCCGTATTCAAAATCATTGCCAGTCCCGTAGGGAAAGGGGCCAAGTTCAAACCGCTGTTTCTCTTGAAAATTAACAGAGAAAAAAATTGTAGTTTTTATTAAGGTTGTGCCACAACAGAGCCACCTGGAAACGCGATGTACAGATGACAAGGGTACACCACCCCGTATTCAAAACCATTTGCCGGTCCGTAGGGAAAGGGCCAGAATCAAAAAAC